GGGTTCCTGAAGTCTACGCATTTCATTTTGGGAAAGTTCACAACTTTTAGTCCTTTATCATCTTATCTAAACTAGTATGAATAAAGTTCTTAATCAGAACCTATTCCATTAGGGGGTACTTTAATTCTGAGCACGTATAGGTCATCTACTCATTTATCCCAACTTCATTAACCTAAGCATGCGATTGTCCGACCGGTACATGACATGAGCGTAAACATTTGAAGAGAGATGAGCTGAAAGGGACCTGCTGCCAGAAGTGTTCAACAATTTCGTTTAAGAAGAAGAGTCGAAGGATTCGTAAATCAGCCTCACCAGAAGCTGAAAGGTGAATGCCTCTGAATTGCGCTCGTAGATGCGTGCGAATAGGTCTTCGGTGCACCGCCCTGCGACGCCGATGAATACTTGCAGAGCTTTCGCCCTTTCTGTGAATGACATTGTCAGAGGAGGACACCATGTTTAACTATGATTCAGCAGAATGCGAATACAAAAAAGGTGTGTTTTTCGTCCATATGTAGGGTTGCAAGACTAACAGTACATCAATTATATGAGATATATTCACACTATTTCGTTTAAAGTGATGAAGGACTGACAGTTCACTTTTCCCACAATCATATGAATAGATCACATGTTTTCATCGAACTTCACATAGCTTTGCTTTCCAAGAGGTGCTCTTGTCCGGGCTGATGTGGACTGCAGTTTCAACCTCGTCCAGGTCTTATCAACAACCCCAGCGGGAGTCGAACTGTGACAGTGTAGCGTGTCACCTCGACACGTTAATCACTACCTCACATTGCCACGAGTGCCCTTGGATCACGAATTTCAAGGAAGATCATATCATAATCCTTGAAATGCACATCTTCCCTGCGATCCGAGTGGACTCACTGTCATGTTTCGAGTCCCGCTGAGGGTGTTGCTAAAACCTATGCGGGATCGGAGCTGCAGTCCGCTCTGAGTGAGAACACGTTTTAGGGAAGCAAGGCTATGCGAAATGCAATGGAACGCCTGCTCTACTCATAGGCTTGTGTGAAAATTCAACTACCAGTCCTTCATCACTTTTAACGAAATATGGTGAATATATTTCATACGAAAGGTGTCTTCGTGTTTTGGTGAATTATCCTAAAGTCTGGCGTCTTGCTTTGATGGTCTCCGTTAAATTGACGGACGAAAGTTCAACAAATATTCATTGGGGTCACAGGGCGGTGCACCGAGGATTTATTCACACAAATCTACAGTCGCAGCCCCAAAACAATCGCCCTACAACTTCCGGCGAGGCCAACTTACGAATCTCTTCAACTCGTCTCTTCAAACGAAATGAAAGGCATTCTATTAAAGGAATCTTCGAAGCCCACTTTTTCTACACATTGGCATCACTTGGTTGTGTATATTTATAATACTGTGTAGTTGTGTTTGTGTACATGTGTGTGTATTTGTGTATCTCTGCATGCCAATACAATCTGCTAAGCTGCCACTAAATGAAGTGTGGCATAGAAAAGAATTTGAAGCACGCAAGTCGCAAGAGACTTCCGATTGGGCCCGAAGACAATCTCTTGTCCCGTCGAGTCCACTTCCTTGCCTTGCCAACGCAACTTCAAGGCTCAATTGCTATGCGATTGCGTCACCAGATAAATGGTGCTCGAATTCTGTCAGTGGCCAACCAGATGTCGGCTTGACTTGAGGCTTCCAGTCACCTTACGTGACAAGAAGTGAAGAGGAACTGATGGGTGAATTCTTCCGCAATCAAACAAATAGATCTCACATTTTAATTGCTTCCAAACGTTTATTCTCATTCATTGTTGAGCTTAATTCAATTTAGAGTGAAAGAGTTGGGTGAAGAGATTCGAAGGTTGGTTCCGCCAGAAGACGACGGCGGATTTCTCTTGACCAGTTGTCGATTGGCTTTACTGGAAGATTCATGCTGAAGCTGTTTCCGAGGCAATCTCCTTCGATTCTGGTCAAAAGGTGCTAAGCTTTCGTCCGTCATATGACGGATATCATCGGAGCGAGGTAACATTGTCACAACAAAATTCAAGCTAACGAATCAAGAAGACTCACCGGCAAATCCCTAAAAAGTGGTATATATATACTCTACATCTGGCCTCTTTG